TAGAGTCAAACATGTGGAAAATGGACACAACAATGAAGGATTCTGTGTCCAGAGTTGAAATAGACAAAAACTAGTGCACTGGAGCACTAACGGGAAGAACAGATCAATTGTGGGAGAACCACAAGTCTTCAAGGACATAGAGATTTTGATCAGGTTCATACAATTTCTTTATTTATAGGAATCTACAGGAAGCCTTTCCTCTTGGCCTTACGAACTCCCCTGGTGAATTTAGGAGAGAAGGTGACATTGGAGTGTCATGCCGAGATTAAGTTTGAATCTTTTACTTTGACTTTTCACACAAAAGGAATAATCAAGGACTCTTTGCAGCTTTCTGCTGAAAATCATCTTGGGAGGTCCCAGGCCAACTTCTCAATAGGTCCTGTGTCAACTGATGATGCTGGGACATACACATGCTATGGTTCTTACAATCACTCCCCATATAAGTGGTCTGTATCCAGTGACCCCATTGACATAAAGATCTCAGGTAAGAGCATGTTATCTGCTCATCATTCTCATTGTGATACAGAAAAAATATTCTGTACACTAAAAACTGTGGGAGGTCACAAGGAAAAAGAGTGTGGGAAATTTACATGAAGCCAAACTTGTTGAGTATTTTACTGACATAGACAATGAAAAGAAATACACAAGAACAGACCATTGGTTGTAACATAAAGCACAGATACAGGGAGGTGCAAAGGAGTCCTAAGTAGAGATAAACAGAAAATGGTGATTGGGTGAGCATGATATGAACCAGAGAGAATGAAGGCTTTCTATTAACATCCAGAAAATTTTTGACTTTTACCTCTACAAGAAGTCTACCTAGAGAACCAGACATATAATGTGTTATGACCTGAGTCCAAATACTTATTTGGGCTGGTTCTTAATGAATCCTTATACCTTCACACAGGTGGAACGGAGGATTTGCTGGGAATTAGTAAACATGGAATGTGTGCTAAGAGAAAAACTACAAAAAGACAGAAGCCTGAATGGAAACTTTGAAAATAGAGATGGAAAAATTATAGCATATGTTAAATATGTCAAGACAGAGCTTGTCAGACACATGATATGTCTGGCTTTCTTGGTAGAATTCATATAGAGGTAGAACCCAAAAACAAATTCTAAACCAAATGCTTGGGAGGCAGACAATAGATCACACTTGAGCAGTACACACACTGAGAAGAACAAGAGAGGGAAGATCACCATGGCCACTGTTCAAGAGAAATATAGATATTGATGGATTATTCTGTACTTTGAAGTGAGATTAATTAGTGGAAGTTGAGGGACAATTGAGAATATTAGCATTATTATGATTTATATTATACATATATAAATATATATGTAACAACAAATTTAAAAACAATTTAAATACATGAAATGATGTAAATGTATTATGCTATAAAAACATACGTTAAAATACAGATTGAATGAACCAAATGAAAACAGAGGCAGAAAATGTAAAAAAGCAAAAACTGTCTTAAAATGTTTGAGTAAGGAGAGAAGTCATAGACTAAATATGATAACATAGAAAGGAAGAGAGAGAAGGAGAGAAAGAGAGGAGAAGTTGAGAAATTGAGAGAGGGAGATGGTGAGAGGTAGGAAGATCACAGAAATGGAATCAGGGAGAGGAAAAACTGAACATGAATAAACACTAGTAAAAAACTCTCCCTCTAAATGTCTCTGGCTCTTTTCTTCCAGGTTTGTACAAGAAACCTTCTCTGTCAGCCCTGATGAGCCCTGTGGTGATGTCAGGAGAGAATGTGACTTTGTCCTGCATCTCTGATCATCAGTTTGACATGTTCCATCTGTCCATAGAAGGGGTGCCTCAGGGGTACGGGCTGCCTGCAGTACAGAGCCACAGTGGGACATTCCAGGCCAACTTCCTTCTTGGTCCTGTAATCCAGACAGGGAACTATAGATGCTATGGCTCTTTCAGTAACTCTTCCCATGTGTGGTCATCCTCAAGTGACCCATGGTACTTTCCTGTCACAGGTAAGAAAGCCTAATATAGAGATCTCATATCTTGTGACTAATGAAATACTAAAACCATATCTGGGAACCATCCA